GAACAGGTTTAAGTGCGTTTTTGTATCTGATAAGGTTGTAATAAGTAAGAATGAAATGTTTGTAGGAAAATATTACCTCACTGAGGGCATTTTCAAACTGAATGTAATGGTCATTGAGAATAATAAAATTCCAGCTTCTTCTTACTCACTTGAGTCAAATGATTTATGGCATAAACGTTTGGGACATGACAGTTATAAAACCTTCCGAAAAATGATTAATTTGGAAGTATTGCCTAAGTTTGAATGCGGTAAATCAAAATGTCAAATATGTTTGGAGTCTAAGTATGTTAAACATTCTTATAAGTCAGTTGAAAGGAATTCAAATCCTTTAGACTTAAGTCACACAGATATTTGCGGCATGAAGTCAATACCATCTCGCGGTGGAAAGAAGTATTTCATAACTTTTATTGATGATAGTACTCGATATTGCTATGTCTAGTTACTTAATAGTAAAGATGAATCAATAGATACATTCAAGCAATACAAAACTGAAGTTGAAACACAACTTAACAAGAAAATTAAAATGATAAGAAGTAATAGGGGTGGTGAATACGAATCTCATTTTAAAAAAATATGTTTAGAATATGGAATTATTCATCAAACAACGACCCCTTACAAGCCCCAATCCAATGGAATTGCGTAAAGAAAGAATCGTTCATTAAAGGAGATGATGAACGCATTGTTGATAAGTTCTGGTTTGCCACAGAACTTGTGGGGGGAAGCCATTCTTACGGCTAACCGGATACTAAATCGAGTACCCCATAGCAAAACACAATCCATTCCATATGAAAAATAAAAAGGAAGGAAGTCCATCTTGAATTATCTTAAAGTGTGGGGGTGTCATTTCTCAAAATGAAATGGAAAGGAATGAAGCCCAAAATAAGAATTTCACATATTTTTATCTAAGAAGCTTCAATCTCAAGTTCAAATTCATAGCATTATAGATTAAATGTTTTGGGTGTGACGATTGAATCCAAAATTATTACTAGTTTGTATTGATTATCAAAGCATTTTGTGACGAAAAATGTAAGTTCAACTTTAACATTAATCATGTTTAAATGAATCAAATTAAATATTTTTTCAGGATGATTAAATTCAAAATTTTACTCGTAGCGAAAAGGCTCATGATGACAACATAACTCAAAAACAAGTTATCAGAATTGAATCAATATTTCTAGAGATTGTCATTTGTCGCGCTTTAGTTTATCAAATAGTGGATCATCTATTATTTCACTTTCTCATCATTTTTGTTAGTTTTTTACCAGAACTTTATTTTTCCACTACCAATAAGTGGAAAGTTTTGATTCTTCTTCTTCAAAAAAAAAAAAGATAGAGAGGGGATAATTTCTCCTATACAAAGTATTGAGTTATTCTTCAATATAGCAAAACACATATTTACTAAGAGCCTAAAATAACTTCAATTTTTAAAGCATTATTGAGTACACATGTATGAGTGAATTTCTACATTTAACAAAAAATAAAATTAACAATCATTAATTATATAAGAGGTTACCATCAGAGAAGAAACTTTTTTTCAAGTCATTTGCAATTGAAAAAATTATAAATGAACAAAAATATTATATGTAACACTACAATTTCGAAAGAAATTTATATGTGACAATATGAAAGCGCAAAAACTGAAGGTGTAGATCATATTTGTCAAATTGGCTTATCATATAAATTCGACTTAGGTTCTCGAAACGGGACAAATAAAATTAAATAATGAGCGCGACTTATACATCGCAATAGTAGCATTCGACTTATAAATTGCAGTGATGAAACACGATTTATTATTTGACACGCTTCTTCAACTAAGCTAGCGTTTGAACGTAAATTCCCAAATTTGTTTTGAAAAATCTGATTTGGGTGAAGTTTGGTTTGAAGATGAAAATATGTTTGGACATCAGTTTTCAAAACATATTTCTCAAATTTATTTTGGAAAAACATGAAACATGTCTTATACCCATAAGTTTAAAAAATTATCACAAATACCCAACAGTCTCATTATCAATAACATTCATTATATTATCGCAAACCATAGTCCTGAATATAAATAAATTTGGCATAAAATTATTATTTTTATAATTAACTACATGATACACTATCAGATGACCGAGAAAACGAAACAACATCGTTACAAAATAATAAATTGTGGACTCTTTTATAAAATATAAAAGTTTAGGGTAATTTTAAAAAAATATAATAGTGATATTTTGGCTCAAGGATTTGGGATTTTGCCAAAATGTAGGCAAAATCTATGGCCAAACGGATCCTAACTTTCACCTCAAAATTTCTGTCGCACATCAACACTTTGTTTCATTAAGAAATTAAAAAATAGTCAGATTTATAAGTGATAATTGAAAAATAGTCACAGTTTTAAAAGTAATCAAAATTTAGCCACATTTCAAGATAAATCTGAACGAAAATATTGTTCAAAATTGAAAAATAGCCGCAACTTTAAAAGTAATCGAAATTTAGCTTTTTCATGTAAAGATAAATCTGAATGAAAACACTGTTCAAAATTCGAAAAATATTCCAACATAATATACCGAAAATTCAGTATAATTCTAGCATATTATACTAGAGTTTCAGTATAATATACCGGTCCAGTATAATATACTTTGAGTTATACACCTGTGCATCTAATATTCACTATATTATGCTGGAACTTTCTAGACCGGTCCGTATTGCAGTAAAATAGTAGCTATTTTTTGATGAATTTGTAAATGGTAACTATTTTTGAATTATTGGTGAGAAAAACTATTTTTACCTTTGTTTTGTTATCTCTTTGGTCTCGCCATTAAAAAAATGTAGACTTCAACTTCGGTGTAAGCTGAACAACTGGTTCATCTGGACAGCTCTTCCCGGGTTAGATGCTTGCCGGTTTTGGTTAGCGTTTACAGCAATTTCTGTATTCTCTGATCGGAGAAAACTGCGGCCGTTGATACTTCCGGGTCGGAATGCGGGTTTGAATCCGATTTCGTTATTGGAAGGGCACATTTACAATGATGCCGTGAACAAGTATGTTTTTTGATTGGTTCTTATTGTGGATCATAATAGATGTTTGTGTTTAATTTGAATTTAGAGAGTATAAGATGTAAATGTATTTTGCAGAAATTGATATCTTTGTTCTTCTTAATACATGAATGCCTGGGAAAATTATGCTTTTTTTTTCATGCTCGTGCTCGTAATAGTTTTATTCTTTTTGAAACAGAGGAAGCATATTATTGTCTAAATATTTAAATAAAAATTGCGTTAGATACTTTCCTGCAATTTCTATTGGGATTTGGGAGTATGCTCGAGTTTTATTGCAAGCCTGTTAGTTACTAATTCAGTTTAATTAAAGTCTTTCTTTGAGTTCAAAAAGAAATTCAGTACTTTTTTCTACTCTAAATATATTCTTCTATTTATATGAAGATATAATACTACTCCACCTATTTTGATTCTCTAATGTAGATGTGTTATATTAAACCTTAATAAATTTCTATTAATTATATATTGAGAACTCAAGTAGAAAATCTCATGAGCCTGTTTAGTATATCTAGGCAAAGACGAGCTCGAGCTTTAGGCTTGTTAAACTTCTACTGGTCGAGTGTGAGCATGGCTTAGAACTCCTTTAGTATTTGAGCCGAGCTCTACTTGTACGTTAACACATTTTAGTTCGAAAATCAAAACTTCGATTGAATTTACAACTCTAGTGTAACACAAACAAAAATAAACATGAAAATTCAGTTTTTATACAATTAGGGATTGCCTTATGGATTTAGATTGAGTCGGTGGTCTAGAGAGTGTGGGAATGCTAAGATGTATCCTTTCATTAATTATTATTTACTCTTACTATTTATGAGGATAATCAGAAATGGAGATTTGTGCATACCAAGGCTAACTATTTTTTATCGAGCTCTCTTGGGAAAATGGTTGTGGAGATCCACATGTGAGGAGAACCTCTCTTTTGTAGGAGGTGCACAGGTGATATGCGTGAAGCATGGATACAGTCAATATGGGTGGCTCTCAGAAAAGTCACATCAAAGAGAATATAAAGCAAAGAAAAAATAATCACAAGACTCCTAACTGAATAAGCAAGTTGGCGAAAGTCACGGAGAGGATGTGGATCATCTTCCACTCCATAACATTTCTCTTTAGAATTATGGGTCGTGATGTTCTCCATTTTCAAAAGTTAATAGGTGGTTCCTAGAACAGTAATTCCATATGACTAGTGAAGATATGGTAGATACAGCTGGTAGTTTCAATGGATCCTTTTTACTTCCATAAATGGAGTGAACCAAGCCAACATATACAAGAATGAGGATTAAAAAGCAGTAAGCAATTTACCATTTTTGATGTCCTGCATTTTTGCTAGTTTTGGAACTTAAAACCTATACTGATAAGCTCATAAAATAAGACACATTCAACCAGTGTTATTAAAAGCTATCGCTTCGTCGATTAAAGCAATGAAGTGATACAAGGTGAGGTGTTACCGCGTAATGGTGAAGTCATCCGCTTTAAAGAACTGAGCGCTTGAAACAATGATGTGCAAAGTTATCCGAATGAGAAACAATCAATTCTTTGACTACCATATTTGAGGAGTTGGATTGATGTCGACATTATTGTACTGCCCTCGTCCTGTTTTGTTGTGAAGGGGTTTGGAGTACGAGAGTCAAAGCACCTAATTTTCAGTGTGGATTTCGGCATAGATATTTCAAGTTTTTTTAAATAAAATTTACATATTTGAAAATTATGTGGAAAGGACCATACATCAGCATAGTTATTAATTCAAAATATTACAACATAGTTTAAGAAAATCTTAGTCAAAGGAAAACTATTTTACTCCCCCAAAATAATGTTAGTGTTACATAAAATGGGATAGAGGGAAAATTCTCGTTGCAATTTGATTATTATAATACTAAAATTATTATATTTGGTATTTCTAATTTTTTCATAAATTGCACGCTTTACTTCAGAGAAGTGTTTACATTATTTCACACTTTTCTTATTGAACTGTTATAAAACCTGATATGATGAACCTTTGAAGAATAAAGTTATCTGTATGCAAAGCCATGCTATAAAATCTTGCATGTTAAGCCTGTGTTAGAAACTTATCATGTAAACTTGCCTAGAAATGCTATGGAGTTTAATCTTTTCCTCTTGTTATGACTCTTTGAGCCTTGGCATGAATGTGACAAAATTCTATCTATTTGTTCTCATCAACATTAAAACGCCAACCAGTTACATGATCTGCCTGTTTTGTTGATCAGTAGATAGGTTTCTACTGGCATGTTTATTTCTATGTTGGTGTTAACTGTTACTTGCTGTGCACTTTCACACGTTAAAACGGAGTTTTTAAATGGATCTACAGCTAATATGTGTCCAATGAATTTTATTTTGTGTAGAAGCGGCAAAACAGGTATATAATCGGTAAATGAGTATGCTAATTTGTAACCTGTACTCATTTTACTAGCCATAGATTTAGGATCTATCAACCATTTACCTATTTTTTCCACCTCTAGATATTGGTAGAGTAGATTAATATATGAGAGACTAGAAAAAATGAATATTGTGCTTATGTGCTTTATAATTTCCATTCATGTGTCAGGTAGAATTTTGTTGACATATACGTTTATTACTCTCAAGTTTCAGTATCATCCTTGAAAACAAGCAGTTTTAGTTTTATGGAAAGTTTCTATTGTCCCAAAAAGCATTTAACTGCACATTTGTGCGTGTTAACATTTTTGGCTCCTTATTTATTTGTTTATTTAATCTCCATCCCATTTCTTCTTTTAGCCGTTCTCCGGGCTCAGGTGATAGGGTATCTAGATTGAATGGAGGTCTAGAACATTGATAAAATATTTGCATGTATAAACTTGACACGGGATTTGTTACAATTATGAAATACATTCGATCACTACCTCCTCACACCCTTCCAGTTCAATCAGTACCATTATCTCCTAATGTTTAGCTAGTAAATTGAACACTGTAGGTGTTTTACCTTTGGCTTTAGTTTTTGACTATGTTTTGGATGCAATGGTCATTTCCAGGAAATAGATTTTGGCTTTATTCTGCAGATCAGAACGTTTTTATGTATGCTTTAAAGCTCGATCCTCGTGATCTTTGCACGGAACACTCGTGAGGAGTGCCACTTGCCTTTTCATCTGTTACAACTCTGCCACTTGCATCAGTATTCCTTCCAGATGCATGCACACTTCATTTCACTGTTCTATATATCGTTCAGGTGCTGGATATGAACTACATAACCCATTTCCAGTAATTCCACTGGCTTCCCTCTGTCCCTGAATAACGGTAGTCTAACCTTTCTCTTTTTCACCAGAGACTCGCTCCAAATTATCAGTGTCTTCATCAGATGAAATTTTTGTTTTGACATCTGCTATCAGCTTTCGTTTACTTGGTATATCTCTGGTACCAGTGCTTGTGAGTATTGTGAGGAAATTGAGTGCATTGATTGTCCACAAAGTTTCCTAATATATTTTTGCTGATAAAGATTTATTTGGTGCATGTTTGTTTCTGTAATTGAAGTATCACCTTGCTTCTTTTCGTGTTTAAATGCAGCAAATGCTTTTATTGGCATTAAGTTATTTAAGTATGGTAGACCGTCAAATATGGCATCCTTGCTGCTCTTCGTGTTAAATGCAGCAAGTGATTTTATTGAAAATCTGACGGCGTCATTTTCAAGTTATTTAAGGATTCTAGAATGTGAATATCTAGATCTAGCAGTCCTGGTTAATTTCTAACTTAGGGTTCTGCTGGAATTAAGTGTTTTTATTCTTCTCTAGATTTGTATAGAGATAGTTGTTAGTTGATTAACTGAAAAAGTTACGTGCAGCGTCCTTGGTATAAGTTTCCTATTTGAGTGCTTCCATTATACCAGCATAACTTACTGGCGGAGCCCTTCGTATAAGGTTTTTCTGGATGATTGTTGAATGAAAAGTTCCGATTCTGCTCATGTGTTTCTATTAGACCAGCATAAATTATCATTGTCAATGAACTTGTAACCTTTGTAAAGTCTTACACGTGCTAGACTGTTCCTGCAGGTACATTACTGGAACGTCAGAGGATCAGGACTTTGTATCGGAGAAAGATCTGGATCATTTTCTGCAACTTCTAGATGGTAAAGACACCTAGCTCCTAGAATTGCTTGACCCATATTCTTAAGGGTTGCTTCCATTTGGATATATCTTCAGTACCTTTTTACCAAATTAAAAAGGGACAATCTTTTAAATTCACTTGTTTTGAGTTTGATTTTTGAGAGTTGCAATTTGACATGAAAAGGCTTGCTTTTCTGTTCCAGAACTTGGGATATGTGTGTTTAAATTACTGTTTTATTTTAACATAATTGGAAGGGTGGTGATCATGACGAGCTTTGTGGACTTTAAAATAGGTGCAACACGTTTGGTACTTTACATGTCCACATTTCAATTCTAAAAGTTATACTTAAGTCAGCTCTGGAATTTTCCATGACCGAGATACCAAATTTATAATGAATTTTGTGGTACGAAAATTGTGTTGATTGTTTTCAAATTGAATCTTTTCATCTATATTTGGAAAATCATATTCATCGGTTTTGCTCTACGTTTTGCTTAGTGGTTTTATCTATCAAGAAAAGCTTATCTCTATCCTAGAATTAATTAATTTTCTTCTTATCACCCTGAGTCTCTTGGTATACAATGTGAACTATGTCTTTGTTCCAAAACTGTCTGATGAACTGCGCTTTCATATAGTGTTTTAAGATTTTCAGACCTTCATGGACTTTAGGACTTATGAAGCTGCTGCTTATATTGTTTGCATGATTTCCCTGAAGTCGATCGATCATTCTACCTACTCGTTTTGATACCAAAAACTGCATCTTGTCTTGTTCACTTATTTTATTGTATCATCATTATGTATAACTTTTAGAAACTATGTACCAAAAACTGCACCTTGTTTTGTTCATTTATTTTATTCTGTCGTCATTATGTATAACTTTTAGAAACTATGTACCAAAAACTGCACCTTGTTTTGTTCATTTATTTTATTCTGTCGCCATTATGTATAACTTTTAGAAACTATGTAGTCACACATCATGTGTCATTGTTTATATTTTCCTGAAACAATGTAGTCATCCATCATATCTGTAACATGAAATCTATTGCAGGGTGCACCCTCTCCAGCTTTTCAAAGGCGAGACAAACCTAGGCGTGTAGACCTGTACTTTTCAAGTTGGGTTGTTAAGCCTGGTAAGTGGTGCCATTTCTAGTGGATGTACAAAACGAAAAATATCAACTTTGCCAATTGTCTAGGACACTATAGCTTAAGATTTACTTTTAAGTGTGCACTTGTAACTATGGTTGCAGTGGAATCAAAGAAAGGGGATGGACTACTGTCTGCATGTGAGGTCACACTATTTCAGTATGAAGATGTGGGCATCCCAAAAGATGTAGCATGGTTAGGGATTCGTCAGGGGCTCTGGCGTACTGTCAAGAAGTTGCACAATGGCCTCCGAGCATATCAGGATGCAAGGAAGTCAGAGGCAGCGGTTTCCAGGTGTGCAATGATGACAAGAATCACTGCAAAAATATCATCTGATGTAGGTACTGGTACTTTGGAGCGAGTCTCTGGTGAAGAAGAGAAACGTGAGACTAACGATATCCAGGGTCAGAGAGGAGGTGGCGGCATCAAGTGGAAATATGGGAAGTATTCCTACGCTGTTGATTTGAGCTTTGACCACGTTCCATTTCGTAAGTGTTCCTTCTTTGGGCTAGCTTCCGAGGGAACAAGTTTTCAGTTTCACGAACTCCACGAGGATTAATCTCATCATGTCTCAAATGGACAAACAATATTTTGTACATTGAGACCCAACATCACTTGTTTTTATTGTTGTTAGTAGTGTGAATTTCGTGTTCTCAATTTGGATAGTTATGGTTTCTAACTTATGTATTAGATCATTTTGACAAGCAGCACAGAGATCAAATTGTTCACTTCTCTTGACTAGAACATTTCCATGTATAGACTGCATCTTATGTTCATATCAACATTTTGATATGAAAATCTAAAGTTGGGATGACTAAAATTGTCTTGAATCAATATTGTAGTACATTTTTCGTAAACAGGTGATGATGTTATGTGCAAAAATACCAACCCTTCACTAATGCTAGGAAATGGTACTGTCATAGGTGAATTTAAGATTTTAAATCAGTGAATTTGAAATAATAGTCCATTCGCTATTTCTTTATGACAATCAAAATGGAATAATAAGTAAAACAATTATTTTTCTAGAAAATATAGTTCGATTCTAAAAAAGTGTATGTGCCATGTATTCACTACTACATTAGCCTTAGAAAAGGTACTGGGATGATTCAACCCTTTTTACTGCGAATTAAAAAAATTATGATGAGGAACGCTTCCCTTTTTAATAGATTTTACGCGCCACAAATTCTAATTAAAGTGGAGGTAATTCGACGATAAACGATTGGAAAACAAAACAAAAAAAAAACTGGTAATTCGACGATAAACGATTGGAAAACAAAACCAAAAAAAAAATACATCTTACTGAATCCAAAGATAGTATGAGAGGATAGTATGGCTTCTCAGGCTGTCACAATACCCAAACAAGGGGTATTTATGACGAAATGACTTACTCTCTAATATTTTGGACCCTTTCTACAATATGCAAATTCATGGCTCAACTCTCCTCTTGTCTCTATGGATAAAAGCTTGAAATGGACCACCTTTTTTTTTTGATTTTCCACTCGATGTCCGGTATTCATATTGGGGCCGACTAAATCAGGATTCACGCCGGGAAGTCCCACATTGGGAGGTAAAGCGCTCCCTAACAAAGGCGACTCTATACCCAGGGAGTCAAACCCGAGACCTCTAGTTAAGGATGAAGGAATATTTATCACTTCACCACAACCCTTTTGTTAAATGGACCATCTAATATCAAAACAGAGAAAAAGAAGAAAAAAAATTGCTTCTTCCTTCAACGATAAAATAAAATATACTTACTTTATTTGAAAAAGAATGACGGAATGTTTGACCTAATGGTTAATGAAGTGGATATAGAATCACGAATTCTCAGGTTCAATAAAGCAAAACAATAGGTAATTTTCTTTACATATGTCCAAACTTTGTGGACAAAGTTATCTGATATCTATACTCATGGGAAGTAATGATAATGTGAAGATTAAAATATTCAATTCTCAAAGCAAACTTGGCATTGACAATATAATAAATCATAATTCATTAAGAATATTAAAAATATTTGGAAAATATCATAATCGAAGAAAGAATTATTTGATTCTCTAAATAATAATAGTGTCATATAAAAAAGAACCTAAAATAAGGGTGGCATGTGGGCCGGGCCCGGTCCTAAGTGGGCTTCGCGAGCCCGGTCCTAGGCGGGCCGGTCCTAAGTGGTCCCGGGCTTCGCGGGCTTCTTGTTGGAACCGGCCCGAGACCGGAACTACGAACTAACGGTCCCGAGTTTAAGTGGGCCGGTCCCGGGCCCAAGCGGGTCTAAATGGGCCCAACAGATACTTTCTATTTTTTAAATTTTTTTATACAAGTTAGAGAAAAAAAATAGTAATAAAGATATCTAAGGCAATTCCTTATAAATTATATTATAGAATTGTCACCTAAATTTTTTAATTCAAATTTAAAGACAAAAATATTGTAAAGAGATATTCAAAGTAATGCGTTATAATTTTATTATAGCATTAAAAAATTATGGCAATATCTTTCTTAGTCTTCCTCCCCCCTATGGAATGAGCACAACAAGGTGCTAATACCACCATTGAGAAGAAAAAGAAACTAATCAATATGTGCCAAAATACAAGTTACATATTAATTTACATGGTATCTCTTACAAATTTTATAAATCCTTCAAGATCCGGAAGAATTTCCGTTGGTGGTGGCGGAAAAGAAGCTTGGTCATCACCGCTTCTAGACGAAGCATCATCCTCCGCAAGTTCAACTAGAATTTCTTCGTAAGTTTCGTCTACCTCTGGTTGTGATTCAGCAAGTCCAAAATTTCTTCTTTCCGAACGGATTCAATCTCTGAAAAGTACTGATTTTTCCATGCTCTCCCTCATAGATGCTCTATAATCACCGAGTTGAAGTCTTGCTTGACTAAAAGTACTCTCTGATGTCACTGTTGAAACTTGAATAGTTAAAATGTCTCGGGCCATCCTTGAAAGAATCGGAAAGTGTTTTTCTTTGTCCTTCCACCATTTCAAAATATTAAATGAGCCGTCGGGATTCACTTCCTCAATTCCCTGTGACAAATAAACTTCAAGCTCATTTAGTTGTGAAAAATCACTAGTACTAGAACCTTGAGAACCCATGAACCCCGCCCAAGCACTAAGTGCTCTTACTACCGCAGTTCTTTCAGATGATTGAGAACTAGAAGAAGAAGGAGTTGGATAATTTGGTCTAGCATGATCTAATGCAACTTGATAAGCATTATAAATAGTTTGAACATTTATTTTAATTGAGGCTATTGCGTATGGAAGTTTAGACAACTTCTCATCTTCAAGTGCTAAACCATTATAAATAGTTTGAACATTTATTTTAATTGAGGCTATTGCGTATGGAAGTTTAGACAACTTCTCATCTTCAAGTGCTAAACCATTATAAATAGTTTGAACATTTATTTTAATTGAGGCTATTGCGTATGGAAGTTTAGACAACTTCTCATCTTCAAGTGCTAAACCATTATAAATAGTTTCATACCAAAATTGAGGACCTCCTAATTTCATAGTAGGATTTAACAATGTAGCAACACCATAAATAGGGGGAATAGGAAAAAAATATGTTTCAAATTTTTTTTCTCATAGAATCAATAGCAAGTTGATAAATTTCCCCACCCTCTGAAAAATGATCAAACAAATTTGCAAGTTCTGCAATACAAACTAAACAGTTAGAAATAGTAGGATAATATTGCCCAAAAAATTCATTTGTAGCAATATGAATTTTTTCTAAAAAATCTACAAGCATTTTAACATTAGCCCAATCCGTATTTGTAAGGTGCTTATCATCGTCACTTACATGAGCATTAAATGTTGAGTTTATGGGGTTTCTATATTCATATGCAACAACTAAACTTTCATACATGTAATTCCATCTAGTTGGACAAGGTTTAGGAACCTTTCTTTCTCTTAGGCCAAATTCATCGCATCTTTTAAAATATTCTCTAAGTCTACTTCTACGGTTTGAATAAAAAAGCCAATTAAGAGCCATTTTAACCTTTTCAATTTCAACATTTAAAATTCGCATACCATCACCCACAATTAAATGGTAAATATGACAAATACATCTAACATGAAAAATATTACTAAATGTAGGACTTAGTGTAGTGGTAAGCAAGGCTACAGTATTTGTGTTACTAGTAGCATTATCCATTGAAACTGACATTATCTTATCACTAATGAAAAAATATCTACAAATATCCGTAATCGTGCTAGAAATAAACTGCCCTGTGTGACGTAAATTAATTATTCTATAAGCAATAATGCGCTTTTGCTTATCCAATCCTCATCAATCCAATGACTGGTAACAGTAAGGTAATCATAGTCATTACCACTTCTACCAATATCAGTTGTAATAGCAACACGATAATTTATATGAGTAAATAAATAGCGCAAATATTGTTCATATTCATGTTTATATTTATAAATATCGTTCTTTACGGTTGTGCAAGGAAAACCTTTATAAGTAGGATTATGAACTTTTCTAATATAATGCACAAAGTGAGGGTTAGAAGGAAAACTATAGGGTAAGCACATAACAGTAACCATTTTTGTCAATTCTTTCCGATCTTTTTTTGGATAATAATATAAAATACCACCGGTAACAGTGTTAATTCCTGGTTGAAATTGATTTGACCCGGTACTAAGGTCAGCCTGACTAGGTGCACTCGTCCCCTCGGCCAAAGCTTTCATACGAAAACATCTAGCTTTATCTTGAGGGTGTAGCAATATGTGTCTACTTCTACGGTTTGAATAAAAAAGTCAATTAAGAGCCATTTTAACCTTTTCAATTTCAACATTTAAAATTCGCATACCATCACCCACAATTAAATGGTAAATATGACAAATACATCTAACATGAAAAATGTTACTAAATGCAGGACTTAGTGTAGTGGTAAGCAAGGCTACATCATTTGTGTTACTAGTAGCATTATCCATTGAAACTGGCATTATTTTATCACTAATGCAAAAATATCTACAAATATCCGTAATCGTGCTAGAAATAAACTGCCATGTATGATGTAAATTAATTATTCTATAAGCAATAATGCATTTTTGCTTATCCAATCCTCATCAATCTAATGACTGGTAATAGTAAAGTAATCACAGTCATTACCACTTCTACCAATATCAGTTGTAATAACAACACGACAATTTATATGAGTAAATAAATAGTGCAAATATTGTTCATATTCATGTTTATATTTGTAAATATCGCTCTTTACGGTTGTGCAAGGAAAACCTTTATAAGTAGGATTATAAACTTTTCTAATATAATGTACAAAGTGAGGGTTAGAAGGAAAACTATAGGGTAAGCACATAATAGTAACTATTTTTGCCAATTCTTCCCGATCTTTTTTTGGATCATACTATAAAATACTACCGGTAACAGTGTTAATTCCCGGTTGAAATTGATTTGACCCGATACTAAAGTCAGCCTGACTAGGTGCACTTGTCCCCTCGGCCAAAGTTTTCATACGAAAATATC